AATAAACAATAAAGGCATTCTGTTTACAACTAGAAAATAATAATAAAAGAAATCATACCGCTGTGTAAAAACCAGAAAAAAATCTCATTTTTAGGGGTAGAACTTTTCCAGTTAATCTGTAGGAAAAGGTTCCTTACCTTATTTATATTCATTCAGCCTCTTGCAGATGATAAAAGGCTGTGTTAGTTATTTCCAGAATCTGAAGTATCTAATGCCTTCACTGGGGTAGGTGCGGGCTGTTCCATGAACTGTCCCACAGAAAAGAAGGTGGGTATTTTGCTTGAGGAAGGGGTTGGTCTGTCTCAGAGGAAAAATTCACGCAAAATGGCTGCATTTCCAGGCCAGGTCTGACACTTCAGGAATGAAAACCGAATACACAAAACAGGACCTGGCACCAATCCTTAAAGATATGTTCCATTCCAAGGAAGCTCGGCTCCTTCAAGTCTGGGCTTGTTTAGTGCTCTATCCCTGATGCTTAGATCAGCGCCTCACACACAGTAGGCACTATTTTAACAACCCATCAATCTTCTTTCAACCCATATCCATGTTCCACCTCCAACCCCCACACACCAAATATCTGAATGAGACTCAATCTCTTTCACCTTGTCTACCTTAACACCATTCAGTCACTGATTTGTTCTAACATCTCCAACCAACATTCTAGTCTGAATTAGCACAGATACAGCGTGGCATAAAGAGCACAGGATTTGGAGCTGGACAAACAGGAGTTGGAATCCCAGTTCTGACATTCACTAGGCATGGGGACGTTTTTAACACGGGACCAAAAATACCTACCTCCTAAATTCTGGGGATCATAGATGAGATTGTAGTTAAGATCCAGATATACATGATATTCTATTTTTTTGTAGTTCCAACAGTTGAATCCCATGCTATCTACAAACTTACCACGTGCTATGCAACTCACCACAGCCTAACATATCTAAATATTCTTAGTGCTCTATCCCTGGTGCTTAGATCAGTGACTCTCCATTTTGCTTATACAGTTTCCTCTCCAGCCTGTCCTTCCCATTGACTGTCCCTGCTCCAATATTTATCAGTTTATTTTCACCCAGTCACGATTCCTTGATTATTCTTCTCAGACATTGTATAAAAATTCTCCTGTAGTACCTTGAGGTCTAGCATCATGCTATTGATGCTTAGTAAATGCTTATGAAAGTGAGGATGGATTTAGCTGCAAAGACCACTTGCCAAGTCTATTGATGAATCCCACCCTTCCTTAAGTACTACTAGTTTTCAGGCAGCACCACGAGGGACTTTTCTGTTGGCCATGTGGACTTGGGCCTTTCCTTGAGTCATCTTGATCAATGTCACACTGGAGAGTGCCAGAAGATGGCCCCAGTTAGAAACAGTCTGGCTACTTGAGCATTCCCACAGCTGTGAAAACAGCCTGGAAGTTGGACGTCCTCGGCATTCATTCTGTATAATTCCTTTTTTGGTACTGGGGATCAAACTCAGGGCTTCATGCATGCTAGGCAAGCACTCTAGCATGGAGCCATTATCCATAACTCCTCCATTCTGCATAATTCCTAAACCAGCACTCTCTGATCTCTTCTGGGTCACACAGACCAGAAACCTCCAAGACATTTCTCTCTTCTGTCTAGCTCAAGTGCTCTCAAGCCTCCTTTTCTAATACAGCCCATTCCCATCTCCACTGACTGGTTGAGCCTCTTCATTTGTGTATGGGAAACCTAATGCTTCCAACATTCCTCCAGCTAAAATGTTTTCAGAGCCTAATACCATAGACCGTTCGTAACCCTACCCTTCCTAAATGAAAATCTACCAGTCCTCCATGAAGGCTTCTCAAACCCGATTCCTTGACTTATGGCATTGACACTGCCTTTGTTCATTGGTAATCATGACATTTCTGAGTGATCCTTAACAACTCCCAATCAGGATGTAAACTCAACAGGAACACACACCATAACTTAAAAACACTTCCTTGTATTTCCTCGTTCATGGGGCATGGTATCTACCAACAGTTGTCACTGAGTTCTTCAAAAGGAAAAACGGGTTTTGGTGATGCCAGAGGCAATGAGAAAGCCAAACTATGATGGTCTCTTGGAGTAACCATCTCTGCCAAGCTTTTAGGCTTGGTACATAGGAATGTCAATTTGGACCACAACAGTTTCAAACACTCTCCCCCAAGATTTCACTTCTTCGGGCACAAGAACTGGGCTGCAGATGGTTGGCACTCCACAGTACCTAGCCAGAATTGATGCCCAAGAAATATTAGGTCTTAGCTGGACACGGTGGTACATGCCTGTAATCTCAGTGGCTCCAGAGGCCGAGGCAGGAGGATCATGAGTTGCTTAGCACCTCACTTTTTGCCAGCCCTAGCAAAAAGCGAGGTACTAAGCAACTCAGTAAGACCCTGTCTCCACATAAAATACAAAACAGGGCTGGGGATGTGGCTCAGTGGTGGAGTGCCTCTGCATTCAGTCCCTGGTACCAAAAAAGAAATATCTAGGTCTTTCAGTGGATACTTTTTGTTCAGGTGGAAAGTTCATATTAGTCCTGGGAATAAAACCAAGGGCACTTTACCACTAAGCTTTACCCCAACATACCCCTCTCCACCCAACATGCACAGTTTTTGAAACAGTGACTTGCTGACTTGCCCAGGTTGGCCTTAAATTTGCAATCCTCCTCCCTCAGCATCCCAAGTCGCTGGTATTAGAGGTATTCACCCCTGTACCTGATATTCTGAATATTTTATCATTGTGGCCCCTCAAATACCAGAAAAGCCAAAATATATATATATATATATATATATATATATATATATATATATATATATATATTTGTTTTAGTTATAGGTGGACACAATAACTTTTATTCTTATGTGGTGCTGAGAATAGAACCCAGTGCCTCACATGTGCTAGGCATGCTCTCTAATGCTGGTCACAACCGCAGCCCCAAGAAAAGTCAAATTCTCGATCCTATAAATAAGGTAATTGACCCTGAGAGGTAGAACCAAAGAGGGGACTAGATCTGATAATATGTATAGAATGGTGAGCGAGACCACTGATAGGATGCCAGGGGTGAGATGATTATTTAATTGGAAAGCTAAGGGATCCAGGGCTGACCCAGTCTCTCACTTGTCCTAGCTAAAATCCACTGTTGCCTTTGCTCTAGTGGCAGCTCCTCCCTAGCCTCACTTTTCCATCCCAAAGAAAAGGCTATGCTGCGTGCTTGCATTCTACACACCAAAGGCTGGGTCCTTCCATGTGCCACCAAGAGACATGTAGATTCCAGCTGCAATTAGTCCTTGGGTGGGGTCAGGAAAAAATCTGACAAAGCCCTTGTGTGCATTGAAGGCCTGCTGCCCCCAAAGGGGCTGGCTGACAAACGCTTTGAACCCACAGCTTCTCCAGTCCACATCAGCCACCGCCTCTTGGTCAAAGGCCATCCATCTCCAGCACATCCTACAAACATGGCCTTTCTTAGGCTATTTGTAAAAGCCACCCCTGCTCACAAAAGTTGCCTGCTGTGTCCAAAGAAAGCAGCTTCCTTGATGTTCCATCCTTGTACATCTTGGTTTCCCAAGACCACCTGACCTCCATAACACTGGATACCTACCTCCTTCCAAACTCTCAGGGCCCAACTGCACATCACCTCCATTCCTCCCTCTGTGGGATTTACATCTTTTGGGGCAGGGATTGAACTCAGGGGCACTCTGAGCCACATCCTCAGCCCTATTTTTTATTTTATTTAGAGACAGGTTCTCACTGAGTTGCCTTTTTTTTTTAAATTTTATTTTCTAGTTTTCAGCAGACACAACATCTTTGTTTGTATGTGGTGCTGAGGATTGAACCCGGGCCGCATGCATGCCAGGGGAGCGTGCTACGGCTTGAGCCACATCCCCAGCCCCTCACTGAGTTGCTTAGAGCCTTGTTTTTGCTAAGGCTGGCTTTAAACTTGCAATCCTCCTGTCTCAGCCTCCCAAACTGCTGGGATTACAAGCGTGCCACACCGGGCTCCTCTGTATGATTTAACACTTGCATAGACCATTCACTGGTAGCCAATCCTATATAATCCCATTTATACCTCCTTTTCTTATCAGTATATCTTACATTTCAATGAAATCCTCAAGGCAGAGAGCCTGTCTTATTTGTCTTCAAAGATGACTCACACAAAGGAATCACTCTACAAAGATCAAGTACGTGTAGATTACAAAGTACACTGGCCAAGGCTCAGGATCTTCCCTCTCACTCTTAAATGGAATGGGCCCAAAGGGTGAAGGTGACTGGGTCACTTGACAGGCTTGGTGGGGGAAGAGTGGGGAGCCCAGAAGATAGGTAGCACCTGCCACTTCAAACAAAAGATCAAGCACAGTGGAACAGCAGCAGGGTACGGTGGCCCATGCCTGTAATCCCAGTGGCTCGGGAGGCTGAGGGAGGAGGATCACAAGTTCGAACCCAACCTCTGCAAAAGTGAAGTGCTAAGCAATTCTGTGAGACCCTACAAAATAGGGCTGGGGATGTAGCTCAGTGATCAAGTGTTCCTGGGTTCAATCCCTGGTATAGGAAAAAAAATAAAAATAAAAAGAGTAGAGGTGCTTAGTCAGGCACAGTGGCTCATGCCTATGATCCTGGCAACTCAGGAGCTGAGCAGGAGGATCTCAAGTTCAAAGCCAGACTCAGTAATTCAGTAAGGCCATGTCTCAAAATAAAAAAAATTAAAAGGTCTGGGAGTATAGCTCAGTGGTAGAGCATCCCTGGGTTCAACTCCCCACTACCACAAAAAAGAAAAAAAAAAAAAGTAGCCAAGCTCAAACCTAGTGCCACGTGTCATTTACTAGCTTCCTTCAAGTCCGTCTTCTTAGCTGTTAAAATAAAGATAGTGCTTGCTCTACTTACCTACAGAATCAGTGTGAGAATCAAATGAGATAATGTAAAGGAAAATGCTTTGTAAGCACTGAACAGATAATAGCTGGTATTAATTATCACTTGGAGTTGAAAAGAGCTCAGACAGGGCCCAACTCTTGGCCCTAGGGAGAGGGTGGCTTTTATTTCCTCTCTTAGGGAAGTGAAGGGGAGCTTTCCCAGGCACCCCAACCTAAGGAAAGGGTGGGTGTGTCCCAGACGAYGGGGCTGGAAGTGCCAGATGATCTTTCATAAGGGCTCCTCTGTGACCCCTTTCTGGCACTTGGGTGGGTAAGAGAGTCATTCCCTTTAGGGTAGCAGCTCCTGTATCAATGGAGGCACGAGGAGGTATGTGCTGGTGTTCACAAAGAGGAAAGGGGAGCAGGTGCCCTGAGTGAGGGAACAGGGTGGCAGACCCCAAGCCCAGACGACTGCCCAGTACAAAAACTTTCATAAGGCCTGGCTGGTGTGACTCTTCTCCCGAGAAGGGCCTGAGGGGCCCAGAAGCATTGCTCCATCTCAAGGCTGGTTCCTTAAATGTCCATCTCAAACTGTGACTCTTCACCTATGGAGAGAAGAGACAGAGGGCGGGGAAGCAATGAGCAAATGGGTGTGTTGAGGACTGAGGCCAGGGAGAGGGCCTATTTTTTAATTCGGTTGTTCCTTTAAGAAGAACATGGGCTAACCTTATGATGGGAAAGAATGTCAAGGAAGGCAGGATAGGCTATGAATCCCTGGAAGCATAGGCCTGAAGCTTCCATGCCTGACTATGCTCTCTTTCCTAATCCCCAAACCAAGAATAGACACTAAGTTCTCTCACAGAGGAAGTGACATTCCTGCATTTTTCTGATTTTTATTTTTATATCTTTTTGGTTCTTGGAGAGCTTAACCAGTGAGCCACATTGCCAGTCCTTTTAATATCTTTTATTTTGAAACAGGATGTCACAAGTTGCTTAGTGTCTCATTAAGTTGCGGAGGCTAGCCTTGAACTTGTGATCCTCCTGCCTCAGCCTCCTGAGTTGCTGGGATTATAGCCATGCACCACCATATCTGGCTTACTTATGTATGTAAGTATGTATGTAGGCACATGTGTATGTTTTGGGGATTGAATTCAGGGGTACTCAACCCTTGAGCCACACCCCCAGCCCTATTTTGTATTTTATTGAGACTGGGTCTCACTGAGTTGCTTAGCACCTCTCTTTTGCTGGGGCTGACTTTGAACTTGTGATCTTCCTCCCTCAGCCTCCTGAGCCGCTGGGATTATAGGCATGCGCCACCATGTCCAGCTAATTTATTTTTAATAAGGGTTGGTGGTTACTTGTGACTAGGATCACAAGTCGCCAGGCAGCCTTAGCAACTTAGAAAGACCTTAAGTAACTCTTAGTTAAGACATGGTGTCCAAAAAAAAAAAAAAAAAGGCTGGGGATGTGGCTAACTGGTAAAGTGCCCCTGAGTTCCATTTCCAATACCTCCCCCAAAAAAAGGAAAGAAGGAAAATGGTACCCTAGGTAATTTACTAACTAGGCCTACATCTTACAACCCGTAGGATAGCCTGACCTTGCAGTAAAGCAGTTATCTGGACAATTCAGCCACTCAGTGTCCTCCATCCTCTTTCAGTGACATTTCCAAGTAATTTTTTTCTTTTAAAGGGAACTGCCTCATTCATGGTCTCCTGGGCAAGACTGCTCCAAGGTAGTAGGTAGTAAAATGCCTGCTCTGTCTCCCAAATAGGGAAGCTGGCTTTTTTCTTCTGGTTATATTTACACAAATAGATGGGTTCAAGAGACTTGGTTTCTTGTATCTAATTGAACAAAATTAAAATGCCCACTACCCTATACTAACAACCATGTGGGATGAACTAGACCACTATTTGGGGTTCAGAGCTGCCACCTGGCATACAAGGCCAGCCCTGCATTTGTTATGGGCCACAGCAGTTCTAGAAACTGGGAGGGGTGCGTGAACAGGGAGTGACAGCCTTCAGCTGGTGGTGAGTCAAGTTTCAGGTGCTGGTGAACTTCATCCCTTGTGCTATGACCCATGAATCTCTCCATCCTTAAACAAATGTCAGGTGACCACACCACCTTATAGCATGTGTCACACTGTTCTCTCTGTGTGCCCAAATCCACTTTCCTACTACAGCTCACCTCCCTTCCAGCCCTGAATCTAAGAAAAGGCAACTGGTTGGGGATATGATTCAGTGGTAGAGCGCCTGCCCAGCATGCATGACGCCCGGGTTCAAAAAAAAAAGAGAGAAGGCAACTATTGCCTGTCTTGGCTGTTGGCATTCCCAAGGTGATTATGAATCACATCCTGCAGGCCCGGGTAATCGGATTCTGCTGCTGTCAGCAGAGCAAGCCTAGCCCAAGTCCAGCTGCTTCYTGCCTGGGTCTGAGCCTGTGCATTGGGCCTAGTGATGGGTCGGTGGGTTCCAGTCTGACTAAGGTCATCTAGCAGTACTTACACTACATGACCCCACAGCAGAGAACTCAGATGCTCTGGCAAGCTAGTCATGTTGTCACAAAGAGCCCTTTTACACACATAGCTGCCAGGGTGGCTGCTCTGATTACTTGGGAGGTGGGGATACCAGGAAGCACCTGGCTACCAAATGTCGAAGCTGCAAAGACAACGGGCCACATTGTTTCTATGTCTTCATAGAGGATCCACTAAGGAACAAACACCCAGCTAGGAGACTGCCGGATGTGTTTCTTATCTTGTAGACATGTGATTTCACAGAGGGCGAGTACACTGCGTCTTAAGTTGTCTCCTGCATCACGAGCACCATGGGTGTAGTCCAAGCATTGCACGTGCACAGTAATGCTTTGGGGAATTATACAGAGGGCCATGCTTATGAAAACSGTGTGAAGTCACTGCCATTTTAGATAAGACCCTGCTGTTTACATGACCTGGTGCTGTCAAATCACCTTTCCTGGGGTTCTTGGGCCCCTTTCAAGGACAAAATTGGTACCTCTGAGAGTTCTACTCTCCATCCCAACTCCCACCCTCTGGAGTCTGAAGTGCTCCATAGGGTGTGGGAAAGGGTCACCACCATTCCCCTCCCTGGAATTCCCCCCAGAGGACAGGACATTTCCCTTCCCTGGAGACTGCCTGCACGAGCCGAGCCTGGCCACTTACCGCCTGCCCGCTTATCTTCTGGACTGTTGCGCAGATGGCTCTGGCTGGCTTCCATGGAGGGCTCATCACTGGCTGGGCTGGTGACTCCAGGAATGGTGGGCAGGTCCCTTGGGGGTGTTTTGGCCACAGGTGAGTTTCTACATTCCATCAAGAATTTCCGGTCATAGATGATCCTGGTACCTGAAAGGCACAGGGAGGTTGGTAAAGCCACCTTAAACCCCCCTGCCTGTCAGTTTTTCCACTTCTTGGAGGCAGGGTTACAACAGAGGTAGTTGGTTCTTTTATAAAAATCTGGACCAAGAAGGAGAGAGGCTCATCCAGCAGCCTGACTGTAACCTAGGCCACCTCTTCACGGCCTTGACACTTGCAAGAAACACTCACAGGCCATCAGACTGCATCTTTGTCTTTGTGTGTGTGTGTGTGTGTGTGTGTGTGTGTGTGTGTGTGTGAGAGTGCAAGGGATTGAACCCAGAGGTGCTTAACTACCGAGCCATATCCCCAGCTCTTTTTAAAATATTTTGTTAGAGACAGGGTCTCACTGAATTGCTTAGCGCGTCACTAAATTGCCGAGGCTGGCTTTGAACTTGTGATCCTCCTGCCTCAGCCTCCCCAGTCACTGGGATGACAGGTGTGCACCTTTGTCTTCTTAGAGCTCTTGGTCCCTAAAATCCCTCAACTTGCTCACCCATCAGAGTTCAGTGTTAATTACCCATGACAATCATACTTGAAAGTGAAAAAGATGCATTTCTATYCATTATTCCATCCTGTCCTTACAGTACTTCCTGTGGAATACTCAGAATAGGTATCTTTAATCCCATTTTCTAGATGAATAAAGGGAAAATGAAGCTATTCACCCAGACTCGAAAAAATGCAAATTTTTCCTGCTGCGGCTCTGTGGCAGATAGGTTACCTGCCCCACAAAGGCTTTCTTCTTTTTGAAGCCCCCTGCTACCTTTGCTGATGTCACCACACTTCAGAGTTTGTACAATCTGTGTTCTATTCATTGCAAGGTAGTCTTACTCCCTAGGTGAGGAACTGTCTCACTGAATCTTTCACCATTCTTAAACCACATCCAGGGGCTGGGGATGTGGCTCAAGCAGTATCGCGCTCGCCTGGCATGCGTGCGGCCCGGATTCGATCCTCAGCAGCACATACAAAAAAAAAAAAAAAAAAAAGTGTGTGTCCGCCGAAAACTAAAAAATAAATATTAAAATTCTCTCTCTCTCTCTCTTTAAAAAAAAAAAATTAAACCACACCCAGGACCCCTCCTATGTAGACCTGCCCCCATGATACCATTTGAGGGAGTGTTTCCCAAGGTGAGGGACCCAACATCCTTGTGATGCATCAGATGACAGTGAACACAGCGGGTTGTTCATGTTGTGCCCATTATGTCCAAATCAGCACTATGTGTCTTTAATACCTTAACAGCAGTTACTGACTCAAAAGAGCAGACCTCAGGCTCAGAGCCTTCAGCAGGCAATGGAATCTAGCTAGAATTTAAAAACTGTCATTGTGTATCTTTTTATAGTTACCTTCTATTTATGGCAAGTGAATCTGGTTTCCCATATATAGTAGTGACATCAAGTTTCCTTTTAACACACAATATATAATTTAATGATATGTAGGGTGTATACTATACAACATTATGTGATATGAATTAAAATGTAATAATACAAATCAAAATTAAAGGGCTGAATACATAGCTTAGTGGTAGAAAGCCTCTGGGTTCAATCTCCAGTACTACAGAA